GCAACATGCCATTGCCCATCTTGAGGATGTACCACGCCAGCCACATCCGGGTGTTTTCGCCGGAATTCGGCACACCGACAAATTGGCTGACAATCCCAAGAAAACTGTGCCATCATGGCATGGTGGTTCGTCAGCATGGTGCCCAGCGATGAATGGGCAGCGGAAACGACATTGCAGGGGGGGAGGTGAAAAGGAATCAAGAAATCCTTAAAAGGTAAAATTCTCATCTTCAACCACTTCTTGGTGGCGTCCCGGAAATCACTGTTGGACAATAATGGAATCTTCACAGGGAATGCTTTCGGCGGAGCATGGCAGCCTTTAGAAGTCAGCACTCGAAGCAGGATGCTTTGCACCAGGCTTTTGGGAGGTTCTTCCAAATTGTTCGTGAGCCTGAACAAGGCATACACGTGTGGCAGCGAATATGAGCAAGACCGTAGGCGTCGCTCCATGTTGAACGAAGCGAGGGATCTTTCTGCCAGAATCGTTAAAATCATCCATGAAGAATGTACTTCCTGTTTTACAGGACTGTACAAAGATAGAGCTCCCAGCTTATGTAGTCTGGCACGTAATTTCTTGTGCAGACGACGGCCAGGAACATTGTAGGATGAAGCGATCCGTCGAATTGTACACGAGTAATCTGGACCCATTTTGGTCATCCGTTTTTTCAGGATGAATGGGTAATTCAGGGATGGATTCCATCGCTGAATCAGAGTAAGTTCAAGTGTACGAATTTGGCGAAGGGATTGCATGACAGCCAAAGGAAGGACAATGAGTTGTCCGAGGCATTGATGCGAGACTTGCCAATGTAAAACGAGCTCGATGGAGATTGACACACGCAGTGAATCAGCCATCGTGATCCCCGCAGGATCAATTGTGCGCATTGAAAAGGCCTCTCCACCCAGCAGAAATTGGGGAAGCTGGGATTCTGAGATGGAGATTGATGGATGAATTGGCAACGAGATTGCGATTGAGCACGCCGGCCATTTTGGTCAATGATTGACCCGCGCCATTGACTTTGACAAAGGTGACATCTGATTGCTGAGTGCAATTGTACAGTCAGTCTTTCATTGGCTCTATGAAGACTGAAGGAATTTCCGTGGAAATTCCAGCATGAGATTGTCGAAACTGATCGCATTGTGTAGCTCATGTTCAGAGGTATTCCGACATGAGGGATTGGGTACAGTTGTGAATTGCATTTGTCTGAGACACATTGGATTGCCGTAGCCAGCTGCAAATCAGGATCGGCCGAAATCATCGTGCTCGTCGATAAGACCGCAAGTTCCAGAGCCAGAGCGGGACTTGCCTTTCGCAGTCGTTTCCTGCGCGGGGCCCATCGTTCGAGATCGCGGTCCCGTCGGGGCGTTATCGGATGGATTGGTGGTCTCGGCTGGCGTGACCTGAACGGTGCGCTGTGGGCTTCGGCATTGACGGGGTCCAGTTATCATCGCGCGGGACTTTCTGAGGAGGATTCGAACCCGTCCTGCCAGTAGCGCCAGTGTAGCTGGGATTAATCTGCTCGGTGGGAGCAGCAGAGGTGCTTCCCGGAGACTGAGCCCTCACAGAAGCAGCCGGTAAGTGTACACCAGCCGCCCCGATGTTAACATCGTCATCAGGGATTGCGTTCATGGGAATGATCAGCTCTGCGGCTCGTCTGCTAACAATTCGTAGCGTCGACGGATCGTGGTACATTCGAATGAGTTGTTCAATCGTAGGGTTCCCAAGATCAGCATCGGGAATCCTTGTCTTCATTCTCAGTACGCTAGGCAGATTCATCTCGTTGGAAAATCGTGATCGACCAGACACCCGCAGCGTTTCCCCTTCCATATGGGGTATACAGAGAAGGATTCCTTCTTCTGCGCCTTCCGCGCTGGCCGATTACTCGGCTGGGGCATTTCGCTCGGCGGTGGTGGTGTCTTTTCGGGAGCGACACCTCCAAGGTGCTCTCGCCCCGGTCGTGCTGCGGTGGGACCCGGTAGGAGGCGAGCGCCCAACGACACGATCAAGCTCACATTCCTCATCATCGTCATCGTCCAATAAAACCGGGATGTTGTGAGCCTCCTTAGCAACGGGCTCTTTCCTACGAGTAGATTGAACCCTGCGCTGTGGAGTTTCGGCACGCCTTCGTGCTTGGGCCGCGGCCTGCCTCCTGGCTGTGACATCGAAGAGATTCCACGGCTCATCCAATTCTTCGGGCAGAGCTTCGAAGACATCCTTCTTCATCTCCATCGTAACCGGATCGGTGGCCCTTTTGTCAGGAAGCATGTCCTTGACCTGATCCACAAGCTTGAACAAGGTCTCTTCGGTAGCCTTATCCTGCTCGAGGATATCCTTCGACTCGTGGCCGAGATTCTTCACGACATCTTTCCAATCCCGTCGATGTGCACTAGCCCATCTAGCCCACCACCGTCCCCAGCAGACCACCAGGTTGGTACTAGCTAGTCGTACTAGCCGAGTAACGACAGCGAGCTCGCAACACAGTAGCACAAAGCGACTCTCCTTTTTGATGGATGTGGCATAAATCCCAGTGAGCCTGGGGCCTGGAGATTGTCGCTAGCCTCTGGCTGGCATAAACCCTAGTTAAATCCCAGTTAGCCTGGAGATTGTCGCTAGCCTCCCCAGGGTGGGTTGGGTGGGTACTTCAAAATTACCCCCCCCCCAAAAAAAAAAATAAAAAGTTTCAGCACCAATACCGTACAGGACTTTGTACAATGGTCGACAGGTTGACAGCAATGCACAGCACACAATCAAAACCCTTGCAATCCAGATCCGGTCGGTCACAATCCTTTTCAGCAGGCTTGAGCCAAATGTCAATGTGATCACAATTGGGCCGTTGCACTGTAGAGGCCGGGAATGATGCAATACAATCTAACACGGTCCCTTGACAATGCACTCCCGTGCGATTGTCACTTCATCATCATTACCAATTCCACGGTAGAACAATAACGGAATCAATGTACAGCGAAGATGTAGACAATGAACGTCAGACCGGATCGAGGAGGAAAAGCCAAGGGCAAAGGAAAGTCCGATAAAGGCAAAGGCAAGCAGGAAAAAGGCCGAGGAAAGGGCGATAAAGGTGGTAGAGGAAAGGGCGGTCCTGGGCGAGGAAGGAAGGACCGTCCCCGCAGCCCCACTTGTCGTAGATGACGACCGTCCCGGATCTGTGGCGACGCATCATGTCACTGCGACGCGAATCCGGTTGGTTCTGCTTGACCACTTTGGCAACCATGGTCAGTGGTTAGGCGGAATCTGATGGTGAAGCGAAGCTAGGATATGGTTCCCGCCACTACCTCAGCATTCCTTGCCTTCGCCGTGCTGAGAAGACCCACAGGGGTACAATGGCTAGCCATGGAATTTTCCTCGTGTGTCTCCCTCTTTTCACTGACACTCGATGCTGCCGAGTTTTCACTCTGAGCGCGTTGAGTCTATTGTGTCATACCCGAACCGATCCGATGGAACATCCGGACTGCCTACGATGAAATGGCAGTTCGCTGTTCGCTATGCGCCTAACGATCAAAGGCTGCGTATGTACAGAAGTGAAACATAGGTACGATCCAAGCGCAGAGGCCGCTTTACATCTAAAGGTTTTTATGTCGCTTTAAGCTTTGCTGACCGGAAGAGATGTGGTTCGGTGCACAATCAGTGTACGTGATACTCCTAAACTCCGCTCTCCTCATGCGTGAGCTCGCGTCGAGGGGGGTGTGATTGGTCACGTACATGCGAACATGTGCTTCTGTGCCTTGGTTAGGATTCATGCCAACTTTGTCTCACTTACGCAGCTTGCCTGCTCAAGGACCGCGTGTGCGAGTCCCAGGAAAAGACCGCTTACGCCTTGGGAGGTGTAGGACTTGTCTCTTGCCTGTGTGGTCAATTGCTTTGCTCTGCTACGATCTACGATTGGTTGCCCAGGGCTTTGTGACCGAGACTTAAGTGGATTCCTCTGCTTTTCACAGAAAATATAAGAATGTGCAGAATCTAATTCCTCATAGCGGAACTAATTCCCGCCCCCCCCCGCTTGAAAATTAACAATTTCAAAAATTTTACGGAATTGAATGAACTTAATTCCCTTCTCCCGAATTCAATTCACGAAGTTCTTTAAACTCTTGAATTTCCAAACGGAAAGGGTTGGGGAATTAATTTTAACGCTACGCCGCCCGCCTCGGCTCTGTAGTGGCAGGGCGAGGGTCCCGGCTTATTGTATACCTTCTGGTCACCCTAAACCCTAAACCCTAAACCCTAAACCCTAAACCCAAACCCTAAACCCTAAACCCTAAACCCTAAACCAGACAGGCAGTGGATTGACGCAAAAGCCAAAGTGGGGGCGAGGAAGACGAAACGAGGGCGGGGAGAAGAAGTGGGAGGGCGGTGCGAGGGGAGAGGCCAGGAAAGGAGGGAACGAGGGTGGGGAGAAGAAGTGGGAGGGTGGTGCGAGGGGAGAGGCCAGGAAAGGAGGGGAAAGGGTGGGTGGGGAGGGGGGGTGGAAGAAAAAAAAGAGGGGGAGGAGGCCTGGGAGGGGGCGGGTAGGCCCGCAAATCAGAGAAAATGAGGGGAGGCCGGGCAAGGGGGTGGCAAACGAGCGCAAAAACAGGGTGTCACCAATCATTTGGGCTGCAGGGAGGAGGATTAGGTGGAGGGTACCTGAGGTAACCACCAAAACGCCTGGGCCTGTGGCCTCGGCGGATTCCAGGATTGAGAATTAAGTGCTTTACAGTTTTTAAAATTCGAGGTGAAATGAAATTTCATGAATCTAATTCTGGCTTTGTAACCCTGTCCCCCGGACGCAGAATAGGGTTTATTTGGAAGCAGGCTCATGTATTTACAATAGGGATTAAGCTCAATACACCCTCTAAAATACAAGAGCCAGCTTCCAAATAGACCGGTTTAAGCTGCACACCCCCCACCCCCGGGGCTTTTGGACGCAATCACCCCAATAAGAAAATCAAAATGATCAGAGCACAAAATGTTCGCGTGTTCCAGAAAACGTACAGACGTACTCCTCCCAGGTGGCGAAAGCCTGTCGGAGTCGAAGGCGCGCTTTCGGGTGATGTGCTCAGCCCGCAAAGCTGCCTTAGACGAGTCACGACTTCCCTGCAAAGTTCACGACTTGCGAGGTCATCATTTTGGATGAAGCCGATTCCATGACGCAACTTGGACTCCTCGGACGAATTTATCATGCGCAGTGCAGTGCCGTGCCGTGCAGGCATGATGCTCAGGCAGCTTTGCGAAGGATCATGGAGGCGCGATCCGCTCAGCGTTTTGTCGTAGCATCCCAGTCTGCGTCTGCAGGAGTTCGTGCATGTCACGCGCTTCATTATAATTTGCAACTACGTGTCCAAGATCATCGAGCCGGACTCTCACGCAATGCAGCGGTGTCGCCTGCGCAGTAACCAGCATGAAGCCCTGACAGGCCCTTGCATTCTCGATGCTCCAAATTCCGGTTTCAGCTGGTGGGTTTGATTCTAAGCTTGTTTTTTGGTGCCTCCTCGCCGTTCACATCCACACTATTTCATTAGGTGCCGAGTTCCAGAAAGCCCGACTCCTGCACATCTGTGAAAAGGATGGCTGCTCCACTTCATTTCCTCAAGCTCTTACAGGCGTACAAGCTGTTGCTTGCAGGAGAAGGTGGCGGTGAGCCCAGGTGCGCTTGAACAGCTGATCTTCCTCTCCAAGGTGGAGCCTGGAGCCCCGCGAAAGCACGCGAAAGAATGTCACCAGATCTGAGCCTCTGACATCTGACAGGGAGATATGCGGTGTGCTGTAACGATGCTCCAGACAGCCGTCCAAGTCTACGACAAGGCGACGGCACGCGGAACGCGGAAGGCCCACTTCTGCCCCTTTGCAATTCCTTGCGAGGTGGACGAAGACTCATTAGTCGAGGTGTGGAGAAAAGGCGTGGCCTTTGAAGAGAGGAAATGCTGCCTTGAGGTTTTTTGCGCCGTTCCCGATTCCAAGACGAGGGAGCTGCTAGCCCGTTGCCGGTCCTCCCAGACGACGGACCAGGACGCGGGGACGGAGGGGCTCTTGAGACGGTGCAACCGAAATCCAAAAGCCAAAAGCGATCCGCCAACCTGCTGTGAGCGCTGCGAGGTGCTCGAGGCGGTGCGAGACTTCCTCCTCGAGGGCTTCTCGGGGCTGCAGGCCCACGGCCGACGGGGTCATTTCTGCTCCGGCCGTGCTGCGATGCTAGGTTATGGAGCAGTTGCAAGAGCTTCTGGCAGAGGTCAGCTCCCTGTGCAATGGCCCCGTGTGATCCTCTCACTCTCAGGACGTGTCGCTCCAAGACGCAGTGAAGGCCAAATGTGCCGTGCTCTTCTCGCAGGCCGCGGCGGGAGGGAACGTGGGAGGAATGAGCTGAGCTCTGTCAAACAGGCCGAGGAGCGCTTATGCCAAGGCTGCGATGAGGAGCGGACCGTTCGCCCCTCGGATTCAAGCTCGGCAGTCAGAGCTGAGGAGCTTCAGCTCTTTGAGCTCTTCTCCAACCTTCGACCACTCATTCAGGCGAGCGTACCGTAGCGTACCGCCGCCAGCAGACACCCTGTGTTTGTCCAGGCCCGATGAAGGCCAAAGTGCAGTCCGAGCCTGTAGCTTCTGGACGCAAACAGCGTCAAGAACTGCACTCAGGGTATGTAGGACCAATGTCGGAACTTCCGTTTGGGGACATGGCTGTCACACAAGAGGTGTGACTAGTAGCGGTGAGTCAGCGTGGATACCGGAAGCTCACAGGTGGCGGATGCACACAATTTTGGTTCAGAGCACTGGATGCCTGTTGAGCTTTGTCGGCTTCTCGTTGTTATGGTCCTGTGCTGCAGAACAATGGGGATGACGCAAAAAGGGCACGTTCGCATTGCCGGCAGAGACGTTTGGTGTTCAATGAATTCAGAAGTCGCGAGGTTCTGCAATCTCAGCCCCGTGCCACACGCCCGTCACAGGGTTCCTGGGTTCAAGACCAGAGTTCAATCTGTCAAACTGCACTGTAGAGCGAGATCATGTTGTGTTGGAGCCAGTGGAGCACCTCGAGCAGTAGCACGAGCAGAGCAGCCAGCCATCAGTTTGCCAGCTGCCAACACTACCACAGCTTGGCGCAGGGCGCTCCGACAGATCTTGTAGGGCCATGTTCGGCGGCCCTTGAAGGGGGCCGGCAGACAGCCTGGACAGATCAGACACGACCTTAATGAGAAAAGCTTGCGAGGACAGAAGGTGGTGGAATGTTCGCCAGAACACGAGCGGAGCGAATTTCCCCCAGCGCAGGAAGGAAGCTCTTGGTGAAGCGCGACTCACAAGTCCAAGCCCAGTCGTTGCCGGTAAGCCCAACGTACGTCAGTGGAGCAAGCAGAAATGCCTTCTTGCTTAAACCACTCAGCCGGAGAAAAAAAGCACCACACAAACACAGATCCGCAGAGAATACCAGGACTGCATTCGTATGGCTTCAAGACCCCACCCTGAGGCGGACAACCCACAAAGCAACGATCCATTGAGAATGCCGGAACTGTTTTGTCTTTCTGTTTGCTTGTTTTTTTTGGCTTTGGTGTTCCAGGTGCTGTGGCGAATTGGCACTGTACATCATTAAAGGCTTGTAATACAAAAACACCAAAAACAAGAACCCAAAACGCAACTAAAAATGAAAAAATGCAAAAGTTCAGAAAAGCAAACCAGTTCCGGCTCTCTCTCTCTCTCTCTCTCTCTCTCTCTCTCTCTCTCTCTCTCTCTCTCTCTCTCTCTCTGTTTTACAGATTTTTTGGGTGTTGCGCCGGCGCGCTTGCTGGGAATCCCACACAAACCCTATACCCAAGCATCTATACAATTCTTCTTGGATTCTGCAACTGTTGGTTTATGTGAGTTTGGTTTACCGGTTTTCGACTAATTCTTTAGACTCTTCAGGCACCGTTTGCTGTTTCAGAACGAATTATCTCAGTCAGTTCTTGTGCTTACACATGCCTATATGTGCAACCGGCATTACAAAACCCCACACATGCGTAACAATTGCCCTTTATCTCACAGAAGTATTAGTCATCAACCAGACAATTTGAATGCAGCCTAGCACAATCGAAGCAATCATCTGCGAAATCTCAAGATCCTTTAGGCTTATGTGGCTGGACGTTGTCCACTCATTCTCCAGGACCTACCTTGGCATAGCGTCTCTCCTGCAAGCCATAACTGCTCCTGGTCATTGGCCGCTCTCTTCTTGTTGACTCTCGCAGCCTTGATCGTTGGCTGTTGCTACGGATCAGCAGCCACTGCTTTACTGCTTTCTGGATGCGTGGTTTCAGATTTGTTGCGTTCTGGCTGCAGCAGACTGCGCTCGCAGTGGTGGGTTCGACGGCCGGACCAAGTCCACAGGCTTAGGGAGTACCGCGACTGAGGTGCAACCCGCTTCAGTTCTCTGGCTTGACAGTGTCGATCCGGGTCGACAGTGGTGCGGGCTTCGACAGCCTCGCCTCCCAGGACTACAGCTGCAGGGGCCTCGCCACCTCGATCACCGGCAGCACCTTCGTTTTCCTCTGGCTACTCGGTTGTCTCCGAGCTGGCCAGTGCCCGAGTACCTTTGCTGGCCCGGCACAGCTTGAGCGGTGGACCTTAGTACGCTGCAAGAATCAGCTCTCAACAATGCCATCTCGGCCCTAGCTTAGGGGCCCCTTTTCCTTGCTCATGCGAGCCATGCGGCTACAGGTGGACCAGTGCAGTCCCGGAACAACCAGTGCGCTGAGCACGTGTGCAAATTCTTGTGTGTCATCAGAAGCTCCCTGCGCACCCTCGCTGCATTGGCAGCGGAGCAGGGTTCGAGGGCCTTGCAGGCGACTGGATCTTCACGGTCACCAGTCCCGAGTTTCCTCCTGGTGTGATCCTCGTCCTGTCAGTGCGTGCGGATAGGACGAATCTTTTCTTCCAGCGATATCCTGAAGGGAGTTGCTTCAGATTCTTGAACGTTTTTCAAGAGATCAGCATGTCGGATGTTCGTGATGGCAGTGTGCCTAAGTGCCATGGAGCTGCTCGAGGATGGAGACGGTACACCCTAGAAGTCGCTTGGCACGTCCAATCGACGCCGGCAAAGAAGCGGCGCCATTGTGCGTCACGCCTTATGGGTTCGTCTTCTACCACATATGTTTGTGTTATTCTGCTGTACATGCGACAAACCTGCATTCACATGTCCATTTTTCTTAGGTTTTTCTGTTTGCAAACCTTTGTAGGTACATGCTTTGACCCATGGATTTTTCTTGTTTTCTTGCTCCTTTCGTTTTAAAGTTTGCAGGGGCACACGGCATCTGCGACCTACCGTGTGCAACGAAGCTACGGTTGCAGATGGGATATCCGACTTGGCCAGTCGGACGTACCTGCAAAAAAGCTGGGCCCCTGAGCCAGCAAGATTAGCGAAATGGATTTCTGTTTTCTGAGGCAGGTTTTAGGTGTGTCCATCGAATGTTTTCATTTAACAGTCATGTTCATGAGGGCATATGCATTCGCTTCCTGCACTTTTGCCGCAATCTGACAAGTACACTCAGCACAGAAGTCATCTACAAAAGGCAGGCGGGTCAGTGGAAGCCTTTCCAGTTGTGTTCGGCAAGAGCTCCCTCACGAGGGCCTTGTCGCTATACGGCGAAGTTGCCGGCCCACCGGGGTTCTTGTGTTAGCAGCTCCGGAAATCATTTCCGTTTCACAACATGTTCAAGTGGAGATCACTGAGTGGAAATTACATTTCTGGAAATCAGATCGGAGTCGCATTCCGGAGTTGCATTTGGAGATCATTCCGGCTTGAGCTCTGCAGTCAGGTGTTGTTCTCATATCCCGCCATGGATCGTGAACGCTCCCCCCGCCGCAACCCTTTCTGGAGCTCCTCCTTGCCTGCTTTGGTCCCACCTACCCCTGAGAGTTGGCAGCACCCCGCACCCCGACCGGCCCCACCAGTGAACAGACCGGCAGTGCTTCAGCCACAGAACCTCACGTGGCAACCCAATCCACGTGTTGCTCAGATTATGAAGATTTCGCCAACCCCCCGCATTCCAGGTCTCCCATCCCCACCTGCTGCAAACTCCCCGAGAGTTTTCGGCCCGATGATGCCCGCTGAGTTTTGCCAGAATCCGAACTATTTGGACTCCCGTTGTATTGCAGGCTTAAACTTGGCTCGTTGGGTAAAGAAGACTGACTGGACAGTTCGAAAGCAGATTGATGGATGTCCGACCCATATGATACCGCTTCACTCGTTGCTCTATCAAGGTTGGAATTCGTATTGGGTGCGCCATATTGCAGAAGGAAAGCCGACTTTCTTCGCAGGCTTCAAGTCGATCGGTGAAGTTGTATTTTGCCACGCCTTGTTTGGAAAGCTGAGAGATGAAGAAGTCGGCTTGGATGAGCTTGCTTCTATTGTGCTTGGTACCAGTGACCCCGCTTCCAAGAGCAGCGGTTCGGATTCCAAGTCACAGGCCACACTTGTTGGCACAGAAGGTTGTTGACTACATGCTAGGTCTGTATCCTCAGGCCTCGGTCGACGCAGAGAAGGCAGCCATGGCAAATCAGATCCAGATTCTTCAACAACAACTTGCGAATTTCGAGAATGCTTCCCCCTCCCGCTCTTCTAATCAAGAGGTTGCAGTTCCGAAAACGTTGCCGATTGAAGAAAGCCCCCCAGGACGTGTGACGGAGTCCGCGCCCTCAGCTCAGAAAGTTCCTGATGGTGCAACTCGCCTTCTTCGTGGTCAGACGGCTGAGCCCAAAACTAGTCTCATGCAGGCATTCCAGAAAGGCAAACCATCGGGGCACCATGCAGAACCTTTGAATGTTGAGACCGATGAAGCTGAGACCCAGGGTCGCAGCCCAGGAAATTCGAGTTCTGCTCCTCAGCCTGAGTATGGAACATCATCGCATGTTGGACAGGTTGTGAAGATTGTTCTCGCGGATCCAAGCAAACGTCACTTCTTGAGTCGCAGTTGGAAGGCTTGCAAGTCGGACAAAGAAGTATCGACCTGGATTGAAGGATTGAACTTGAGCAAGAACAATCGACAGAAGCTCCAGACATGGACAGCTCATGTCCAACGATGGCATGCGGACCTTCCTTCCAATGAACAGGCCGAATTGGATCAGGTTGTTGCCAACTGGGGCGTACCCATCCGTGATATTCCCAAGCTTAAGGCGAATTCACTGCTCCGTATTCTTGCTGCCGGAACAATTCTTGTGGCTTGACTACAGGCCATACTGGATGCCAGGGACATGTATCGCAGCGGCAATCCGCCACAAGGTTGGTGGAAACGGCACCGAAGTGAAGTGGATTTACTTCGGAATGCTTATTTATTTTTCCAAGGTCTCTACGAGACACCTACCATGTTCGGACGACAGTGGATGGACATTGTTATTTGGATCCGTGGAAAACTCCTTTTGCTTGCTTGTGAGTTCGGGCTTGTACAGTCGCCATTGACCTCTCAGCTACGTTTAAAATGCTCCAGCTACACCTGGAAATTCTTTCAGACGCAGTCGGTGATTTATTGTCGCATCTTTCTCCAGCCTGACTTACAGAAATTTATGTATGTCGGATCATCATCCCAAACACTGGGCGACCGTGAGCGTACAAG